GACAAAAGAGGGAGTTATTTATAAAATGAAATGCATTCAATTCTAAGGTTTTTTTTTTTTTTATTAAATGCCCTTTTATGAAATTGATGAGTAAATGTAATTTTTTTGCCATTACCCCTCGAAAAATTACAAGAGGGAGCCCCCGCAGGCAGGAGTGTTGTGGTCATGGTTCTGTCACCAAATTGCTGCATGACTAAGACAAGGCCCACCCTCCCCTTCCTGGGCTTAGTTCTTCACCTGTGAGATGTGGATATTCCAAGCAGGTTTTCTCTAGGCTATTTTCCAGCTCTGAAATGCCACAGTTTCATGCTGAGTGTTCAGACCTGCAAGAGAAAGAATATTTTAATTTTCAGGATGACAGTATAGCCTAATGGCTGAGTGCGGGCCCCCAGCAATAGGTTACCTGATTTTGAATTGTTTGCACCATCACTTTTTATTTGTGTGCCCTCAGACAAGTTTCCTAACCTTTTTGAGCTTTAAATGGCTCACCTGGAGAAGGGGTATACCAATAGTACCTGTCTTACAGGGTTGTTGTGAGCATAAAATCAGGTAATGTCAAAAATTTGGAGAAGCATCTAAACTGTGCCATCTAATATAGTACTTACTAGGCACATCTGGTTAGTGTTGATGGAGGAATCGAATTTTTAATTTAATGTAAATTATTTAAAATTTAAATAAAAATACTCAAGCAGTGTAAAATATTTTTCCATTAAATGCACCTTTATTGTTTTAGTAAGGCTACGTTTTACTTGAACCATTGCATTGTTTAAGACTGGGATCAGCAAACTCTTCCTGTAAAGGGCTAGGTGGTGGATATTTTAGGCTTTGTGGAACCATATGGCCTTTGCTGCAACTACCTAACTCTGCCCTTGAACTATGAAAGCGGATATGGACGATATGTAAACAAAGGAGAGTGGCCGTGTTCCAAAAAATCTTTATTTATGGATACTGAAATTTGACTGTCATACAATTTTCACATCACAACTATTTTTCTTTTGATGTTTTTCAGACATTCAAAAATATAATACCCATTCTTAACTCACAGGGTATACAGAAATAGGCAGTGGGTTGGACTTTAGTTCATAGGTTTATGCCCAAAATAAATTAATTCATGTCCATAAAAAACTATTTATTAGAATGTTTGTAACAGCTATATTCATAATGGCCCTACACTGGAAACAGCCCAGATGTTTATCATAGGAGAATGGATTAAAAAAAAAAATCTCAATGTATTCCTAAAAATGGATTATTCCATAGCAATGAAAAAGAATAAACTATGTCTACATACAGTACACTGGATGATTCTCACAGACAAAATGTTGTGAGGGAAGCTAGTTTCAAGGATAAATACTGAGTGATTCCATTATGTGAAGTTCTATAATGGCAAAGGTAGTTTGGATTTAGATATTAGAACAGGGGTTGCCGAGTGGGACAAGGAGAGGGGATTAACTAGAAATGGATGTGAAGGAAAATTCTATAGGATGGAAATGTCCTATCTTAATTTGGGTATATGTTCTTATATATACATTTGTCAAAATTCTTTAGATGGTACACTTTTTATGTAAATTATCCCTCCATACAAAATACTCCTTACATAATTTTAAAAGAAATCAATTAGTTGTTAACATTTAACATTATAATATCTCTTAGTAAAATCCAGATTTCTGGCCACAGTGGTCCACATTCCCTCGTGTCAACCATCCACTGGAATTGTGCTGTTCTAATAGGGTAGCCAGTAGCCGTACTAGTGTGGCTACTGAGCACTTGAAATGTGGTACGTCTGAATCAAGGTGTGCAGTGCATGTAAAAACACCTGGGACTTTGAAAAGTCTGAAAAAAAGAATGTAAACTACTTCATTAACAATTTTTATCTCGATTATATCTTATAATGATCATATTGGGTTGAAATAATTATTAAAATTAATTTCACCTGTTTCCTTTTTTATTTGGAGAAGTTTTGAAAAATTGTGATAAAATATACATAACATAAAATTTACCATAAAATTTATCTTAACTGTTTTTTTTTTTTAAAGTAATCTCCACACCCAACGTGGGGCTTGAACTCATGACCTTGAGATCAAGAGTTGCATGTTCTACCTACTGAGCCAGCCAGGTGCCAGCCAGCCATTTTTTAATTGTACCATTTAGTACATTCATATTGTGCAACCATGTCCACCATGCATCTCCAGAACTCTTTTCATCTTAGATATATGAAACTCTGTAGTCATTAAACAGCTCTGCATTTCCCCTCACCCTAGTCACAGGCAACCACCATTCTACTTTTTGTCCCTATCCATTTGACTGTTGATCCTTCATATAAGTGAAATCATACAGTCTTTGTCTTTTTGTGACTTCTTCACTTAAAAAATATTGTAGTTACTACACAATTTACAATTATGTATGTGGCTCGCCTTCAATTTCTAGTGGACAGTATTGAAGGACAGTGAACAGCAGCTGCCATTTTAGATGGAACATGGGCTCTCTGCTCAGCCCCACCTCTCCCCATTGTCATTTACCATTTGTTGTTCCATTTCTGTTTTATGTTTACATTTTTTCTAATTGAGGAAATGGAAGTATTGCTTATATTCATGTCTCCATCAAATATGGAAAATGAAAGGATTTTTCCCTTACTTTTTAGAGGGTCAGATGTTTAGAAGCATAGTTTTCTTTGTGGAAGGGAAAAATAGTCATTTATATTTAATATACAAAGTGTTTCTGTGTTCAAAGACTACACAACCTAAGATAACATTATGAAACAAATTACTGCCTTGGATGGCTGTACTCGTTGTCTCTGTGGCCCCCATAAACCTTTAATTTGAACTCTATTTATTTCCTTGTGTTAACTTAGGAGAAAAGATTCTAACCAACTACTACAAATGGCTCTTCTCTTGTGATTACTTGACACAGATAGCAGATACTTTATTGATTATTTTTGAATAAAGTTTCACTATTAAATATGTTGTCCATATGACTACAAAAAAACATTTAGACTGAATATTTACAAACTAGAGTTTTACTTTTCACTTTTTGAAAGCTTGGAGCAGTTTATGGGAGATAGCACCTTCATGAAAGTTTTCAGTGATAGGATTATTATTATGTATGGTTACAATTCTGTTAAGTGAGAGTTGTTTAAAACCACATTAAGCAAAGAAAGTACAAGAGAAATTCAGCTATATTTTGTGTTTTGCTGTTTGGTGGCCATCTGGAGGAGAGAGAGGTTCTTTGCCAGGCGAATAGTTCTGGAGAAATGCCATCGCCAGGGAAGGAGGAGACTGTGTGATGTGATAGTGTCCTAAAGGATATCTGGGAGTCCTAGTATAATAATAGTTGATATTCATCTTCTCGTGTTTGTATTCTATTATTCCCAGAATTATGTGTTGAACACCCAGTAAAACACTGGTCAGGGAGTTTACAAATGTGAACATGTACTTCTCTTCTTCCTCAAGTAGTGTTTGGAAGTAGAGTCATCCTCTTATGGGTAATCAGGGTGCAAATTATTTTATGTGATCTTGTTCCATCTTTTTAGATACCTTTTGGAGACTGAACTGAAACAAATACCTTTCTGAGAAGATAACCGTAGGATGAGCTTATATTTGATTTATGAAAAATCTAGGTTTTCTTTTCTTCTGCCTTTTTTTCTTTTGAAGTCCATTCCTGCCTTGAGTACTGGAGAGCTGCTGAGGTTGGGAAATGTTACAATGATCAAAATTGGTGGCCATCCTCTCTTTAGAGGAGAGTCCTGGTTTAATTTTCCGGATTGCTTATTCTATTTATGTCTCTTGGGCCTTTGGCTGATTGATCATGCAGGGAGTCATCATATTGCCTACTTCTTTGAATCAAATGTGGACATAGCAACTAAAAATAAACATGATGTGGATATTAGAGAACCAGGGGCCTGCTTTGCCTGGGGAGCTGGGATACTTGGTTGTTGTTACTAAGATGTTTTCTGGCTTTAGCACAGCATCAATCAGTGGAAATGCAGCTGTGTTTGGAATAGAGCGCTGATGGAAGTGCAGAGGAACGGTGATGAGTATTATCCTGAACAATGGATACAGATGCAAATCATTATGCATAATCCATAATATTATCCCCATTTTTGGAGTTCTTTGTGTTGTGTGATTGTGTGTGATTTGCTGTGCTGAGAACTAAAAGTGTGCCAAAGCATCATTTCTGTTTCAGAATAGTTCTATCAGATATTTGAGAGATAAGTAAATATTCCATACTGTTGTGTTTCAGCTCTTTGTAGCATTGTGAGTGTGGCTAATGGTTTTGACAGTAGAATCTGGCTGAACATTGGGACTGATGGCTCTAACTTGATACCATTTTCCTTATTCTATTATGAAAAGACAGTTGGAGATCGAGTGTGGAAATTCCTTAAGGAATGATGTAGGGTGAAAACCTTGTTTTACCCAGTAAGTTTGCCCTAGGAATGAGGGGCCTGTCTGTAGGGCAGCAGCTCTGGGCACTGACAGCTCTGCCAGAGATGATGAGCTGTGCGATCTTGGGGGTGTTACTTAGCTCCTTTGTGTTTGTTTCCACATCTGTAAAAGAAGGCTAATGATAGTCTTACCTTATTGAATTGTTGTGAGGATTAAATGACTTAACATTTGCAGATCTTACTATAGTGTCTGGCATATAATATATGTTGTATAGGTTTTGCCTGCTTTATTTGCCACTTACTGTGTTTATACAGTATAACATCCTTCTTGCTGGTGCTGGACTAAAGGCTGAGGTGGGAGAGCAGTCCACAACCTGAATATCCTCTGCAATGATTTGACAGCATTTAAAAATGTGAAGCCGGAATGTCTTGGTAAAGCGGAAGCATTTTTCTCTCACGACATTATTATAGGAGTCTTCATTATGTCAAAATAAAAATTTAATCTATATTTAGTGCTCTGGAATTTTTCCTCAAAAGTGATTCATCTTTTGGCCATTGAGTTCCGCTTTTCACAGTTTTAAAATGAAGCCTTACTTGAGCTTCTCTGATTCTGGTCCTAAAGAACTGCCGCTGCCTCGCTTTATGATGTCAAAGACTGATGCTGATACACGATTCGGGAACCCGGCGGAACTGCATGGCGCTAAGGTTCAGATTCCATATTTAATCACAGAAAAAAATACCTTCAAAAGAATGGACGATGAGGATAAACAGGTAAACAGTCTGATAAGGCATGTCCTTTTGATTCTGACCATGAAACCTCATGTAGCAGTGCCTCATATCTGCTGTCAAGCTTCTAGCAAACCTCACCATCTGGGATTCAATTATAGACTTGGAAGTCAGCCAGTAAAGTTTCCTTGTAGCAAGAAAAAGCAGCTGACATATAGCCACCCCTGGGCCCTTTAGAGCCTACTTGAATGTGGAACTGTGTCCAAAGTAAGACTACTGATTTAACACATTTACTTGATTTCTCTAATCAGCATTTGCAAATGGGTTCTTTGAAATGTAACTTATAGGAGTTGTGTTTTTTTCTTTTTTAAGTAAATCCTACACCCAACGTGGGGCTTTAACTCAGGACTCCATGATCAAGAGTCACACGCTCAACTGATTGAGCCAGCCAGGCATCCCTAGGAGTTTTTAATAGACCCTCTCCTCACAAAAAGTTTGGAGAAAAGGTTTCAGTGGTTAAATATGTTTGGAGAATGCTGCTTCATATTCTTTTCTTGGGGGAAAGACTACATCCTCAGGCTTGGAGAGTTACAGTGCACATTAGCACATTCAAGGCCCTGAGAAGTCCTGCTGTAAAGAGACCTGGAGATTTGTGTTTACTAAACTTCTTTGCCCAGGGAATCTTTTCTTGCAGAGCATGTTTGGAATTCCATCTTGGGAAATGCTGCCATTACACATTTAGTAGGTTAGGGACAAGGATAGGGAGGATGGGCTTTTTAAAATTAGAGCACTAATTGCAATAGTCAGGTGGTGATTGATAGAGACAGAAGTATAATATCTCAGAAGAGTGAGCCTATCAAGAAAGAGGTAAATAGTCTTACACATTAGTAAACCCTGAGGGCATCAAGGTACAGCTCATACTTCTAATAAAGGTACTGAATCATGCAGAAAAGTCAAATTATATTCAGTATAATATCTTCTCTAAGACAAAGAAGTCTGCCATACAAATATTCTTTTCTTTGCTAGAAGACTTGATAAGTGTAAATCCAGGAAATAGGAGCCTTTATTAATGAATGAAATTTGAATTTACCCACAAAGAGATCAGATTTGGGAAGTATGAATGCTATTTCATGTGATCATTGTCTTCCATTTTCCAAAGGAAAATTTTAGCGGAATAACTGAAAGCATTTCAGCCTTGTTTTAGTAATTTAGACAACTAAGCGCTGGCGAGATTTTGTTCTCTGGGAGATGTGAATCCTCAGACACTGCATTTTAACCAAACTGTTTTTGAGAGAACATTCCCCCCATTTGTTAAATCAGCCATCTCTCCAGCAATAGAGTTACATTATACTTCATAACTGCAGCTCAGAGCGCCAGGCTTCTCGAGTGATTGCCTCTGAACTCTGCTCTGGTTCTTTTGAAGCAGGAAACACAGTCTCCCACGATGTCACCCCTCGCCTCCCCTCCTTCTTCCCCGCCTCATTACCAGAGGGTGCCCTTGAGCCATGGCTACAGCAAACTGCGGAGCAGCACAGAGCAGATGCATCCAGGTAAGAGGCGATTTTGTCCAGCTGTCCCAGGCAGTGTCTTAGAGACTCCTCAGTCTATCAGCCAGCAACGCCACCAGCTGCTGAATCTCTGGACTTAATTACCTCTGTTCTTGGAAACATGGCTCAATTTAATTTTATACTCTCAAGCAAGGTTTTTTTTTTTAAATAAAATGAAATATATCTTAGTAATGCCTTGTATCCTATCCTACAAACTAGTTTATCTTTAGAATTGTAAATGATTTAGATGATTTAATCCTTCGTATACAGATTTCATTACACAGGAACATAGCATGTGAAAGATGGGTATTGTTTTGGAATCTTTTTTTAAAGATTTTATTTATTTATTTGACAGAGAGAGACACAGCAAGAGAGGGAACACAAACAGGGGGAGTGGGAGAAGCAGGCTTCCCGCAGAGCGGGGAGCCTGATGGGGGCTTGATCCCAGGACCCTGGGATCATTATCTGAGCCGAAGGCAGATACTTAACGACTGAGCCACCCAGGCGCCCCGGAATTGTTCCTTTCAGCAAACATTCCAAACATATTTATATAACAACCGCTTTTATGAAACTACTTAAAAATATAACTCTGCAAAAGCAAAAGAGTTGATTCAACTTTTAAAGACCAATCACATAATGAATATATTTAGCTCTTGTGTTTGGGAGTAAGAATAAGGGAAATAAATGGTAGGGGAAGCATTTGCTGAGAAATGTGTATAGTGCCTAGTTGTGGGGTTGCCTGGTTGCTCACATTTATGCTGTGCTGGCTGTGTTCGTGGTAAAATGCATTAGTTGGTTCCGAGGATGACTTGCAGAGTTGGCCACCTTGCCTGTGGTGCCTAAAGCTCCATAAATTCACTGCAGCATCTTGTCCTCCTGGGGCTCAGGCTCGTAGTTTAAGATAGGACCAATTAAAGGTATTCTAGAATTGGTTATCCATAACCCTCCTTTTATACTTTGTGGACTGTGTTTGAAAATGACCCAGTTTCTGCAGGTTTTTGCTGCATTGAAAATAGTGGTGAGTTCTAGAGGGACACAGATAAAAATGTGTGCTAGACTAAAGAGAGGTTGTAATCTTGTAGAGAGGAGCAGGTGTGGCATAATGGAAAAATCTTTTGATTGGAATCAGAAGGCATGGGTTTAATGTGACTAGCTATGTGATCTTGGGCAAGCCATTGAACTGCTCTGGACTGTGATTTCCTCTCCTCTTTTAAAATGGGGTAACAGTATTCTATAGGGTTTTTGTGAGGATTAGTGAGAACACAAGTATAAAGTCTGATGGGAAATTCAGTCCTATGCAAATGTAAGATGATGTTATTAAGGGTTAGTAACAAAAAATGACTCTCCTGAAACGTGGATGTCCCATTAGAGCCTGAAATGAAATGAGAATTCTTCATTTTCCTCTTATAGTCTCTCCTGCCTGACTTCCCTAGTTTTAGAAATGGAGTTTTTTTTTTTTTTTTGATTCCTAATGTTATTTGGGCTTGGACACTGGAGTTTTATGCCCAGCGTGGTGCCTGTTTTTTGGCTTTTAATTCACAGGTGAGTGTTTTGTTCTTCTGAGTCAGCCTATTACCAAGTACGACCCTATCTTTTTTTGTTACTCCTTTAACAACTTGTCTGCATTCGCTCTGTCTACTCCTTGCCCCATTCTTTCCTCATTCCATTCACATTGGGCTTCCATTCCACCATTGGCAGGGAGACAACCCGCTTCTCTCCATCTTTCTCAAGTCTTAGAGGCCTATGTCATGGCTGACCATGCCTTCGTTCTGTTTTATTCTGTTTTCTAAATGATAAAATGCACACATTTAAAAACCTCCAGTTTGAGTTTTAACATCCATGTAGCCACTGCTTCGATCAAGAATAGAACATTTATGTCACCCTTTCCAGTCACTCCCTGGCCTCCACTGTGAGGACTGTTCTGACTTTTATCACCTTAGATGAGTTTTGTCTCTTTTAAAACTTGATATAAATGGAATCGTCTTGAATGGCTATACTCTTATGTGTCTGCCATCTTTCCCTCAGCACAGTGCTTGAGATTCATCCATGTTGTTCTGGGTCTTAGTAGTTTGTTTCTTTTTATTATTCAGTAGTGTTTCGTTGTGTGAATGCCTCACAATTTGATGATCCATTTTCCTGTTGATGGACATTTCGGTTGTTTCCAGTGTTTGGATGTTAATGAGTCCTTAAGGATACAATGAACGTTTGTTTGTGAGTTTTTTTGTGACATATATTGTCATTTCCCTGGCACCTAGGAGTAGAATTGCTGTACCTTAGGGAAGGTGTGTAAGAAACTGCCAAAGAGTTCTACCAAGTGCTTGTATACTCCCACTGGTGATGTATGAGAGTTCTGTGTTCCTTGCCAGCATTTGGTTCTCTCATTGGTTTCCTTTTTCAGTGCTTTTAATTGTAGTCATTCTATCAGATGTGAAGACATTTCCTTGTTGTCACTTTATATTCTTGGAATGTATTTTTCTAAGTTACCCCTTCCTGTTTTTTTTCCCCTGATATCATAAACCTTAAACTTGATGAGCTACTACTCCAGAGGGTTCTTCTTTGCACAGCATATCCATAGAGAGGAGTGTGAGTGAACACTTAGTTGCCTGTTTCTCAAAGAGTTTGAGTTTTTTGGGTCTAGCCATTGATTAGGGTCCTTTAACTGGAAACAAGGTCATTCACAAATAAAATGTTTACAGGTACTGCCATGTAGATTTCTCTAAGTCGAAGGAAGGCAGAGTTTTTCTAGCTGCGACTTGGTTCAGTCTTGTGATTTTTGCTTCTAATTGATAATATTCACCTCAAAGCTTGTTCACTCCTATTTTTGTAATGTCTGTAGATTCTCCCCCAGAGGATTTTCTTGGCCTGTCTTCTTCCTTTTCTTTCATATATCCTTAGGTCAGGAAGTAAGAGAATCCCACATGTCTTCATTCTTTCTCTCCCCACATTTTCAGAATTCAGTTTTTCTTAAGGCTTCCATGCTCTTTTCCACGAGTTTCTTAACTCTCTTGCCTTCACCATGCCATCAACCCATCTGACAAACCCAGGATTCTCTTTCCTGTTTCTGTGTTCCATCTTCCCTTTGATCTAAACAGTAGCATATCTAAAATCTGTTAAATCTTAGTGACTCTGGGGTGCCTGGGTGGCTCAGATGGTTAAGCGTCTGCCTTCGGCTCAGGTCATGATCCCGGAGTCCTGGGATCGAGTCCCGCATTGGGCTCCCTGCTCCTTGGGAGCCTGCTTCTCCCTCTGCCTCTCTCTCTCTCTCTCTCCCTTTCTCTGTCTCTCATGAATAAATAAAAAATAAAATCTTTAAAAAAAAATCTTAGTGACTCTGGTAGTAAGCATTGTTAGAGTTATTATTTTTTTTTTTAATTTGAGGCAGAGAGAGAGAGAGTGCGTGGGAGTGAGTGCACGAGTGTGAGGGAGGGGCAGACTCCCCGCTGAGCAGGGAGCCCGATGTGGGGCTCAATCCTAGGACCTTGGGATCATGACCTGAGCTGAAGGCAGTCGTTTAACCACTGAGCCACCCAGGCATCCCTAGAGTTATTCTTAATTTATGCCTTTTCAGAAAGGAGTCACACTGCTGGAAGATTTTTCTAGGAATACATTTTTCTGGGGTCATTTCCCTGTTCAAGATTCTGCCATGATTCCTGGCTAGTGGGGAATATATGTGAGTATGTTTTAAATCAGACTGAGTGTCTCCAGACCAGTCTGATTCAGAGCCCCTCTTCAACTTCTCTCCTGGCTCCTGCTAGTCTGACCTGCTAGACATACCTATAGTTAACATTCAGTGGCTAAGACTTGTGTGCCAGGCATCGTGCAGAGATCTTCATGTGCATTATTTGCTTCTTAGCACAACCCTCAGAGGCAGATACTGCTACCCATATTTAAAAAACGGTTAAATCACAGTAATAACATCCGTATAGTTAAGTAATATTTAAATACCTGTAGTGAAAACAACTGTTCTCCTTCCCACTCAACCTATTTCTGATCTCCAGAGGCAACTACTTTCAAATCTTACCTGTTTTTTTCTGATATCTAAGGTCTTATCTCCATATCAAGGTACCTGTTCTGTTTTTTTCTTACACATCTTATTCTGATGTATCAATTCTAGGAATGTACTCTCTTAAGAGCATGGGCTATGATGTCAGTATCCTGGGCCTAAAGGTAGACTTGGGGAGCCTGTGTTTCTGGCCTGTGTGACTATGGATATGTCACCTTTCTGAGCTTCAGTTTCTCTTATCTGTAAAATGGAATAACATCTGTTTCAGAGGTTTGCTCTGTGGATCAAATAAGGAATGTTATATAAAACCTCTGTGCCTAGCACAGTTCCTGGCATATTGTAGGTGCTCCAATGTTGCCTAGTATTTTCTTTTGTGTTTTTAGAATCTGGTACCTGTTTTATTTCTGAAGCTCCTAAGTATTCTTGAAAGTCACCTCCTGGATATGGTTCATTAGGTTGACTGCAGATGTAGAGTCTTTATTGTGCAGTTACTAGTGGTCCCTGTTCTAGTTTGACACTGAATCTCTGAGCGATGAAATCTTTAGGGTTCATTTTATACTCCTCTCTTTGGAGAAAGATGATACTTCTAGTTCCTTATTAAACCTCTCATAAGGGTATCTAAGAATTATTTCTTTTTCGTTGAATTGAACGTTCCAGGTTTTATTTGGGAGGAGGGAGAGTAGAGGCAATAAGTAGTGCCTTTTTACCTTCTGAGTTGAGATCCAACTGAGGATTGAGACAGGAGTCAGACTGATGATGGTCTGATTATCAGATCTGGTACTGACAGGGCTGATTGGAGCACGTGTTTTAGATTTGTAATCAGATGGGCTTCATACACTCACCTTTCCAGTCACTGGTGTGGCCAACCCAGGCTTCCCACAGGAGTCGGAAGAGAAAATCTGCCATTGAGGCCAGACCTTTCCAAAAATGATCCCTCATGCAGCTGAGTCTTTGTTCAAGCCTTACTAATGAGATATGTCTATTTCTTCTGAGGGAAGACCCTTGTAGGTAAGGGACTGGAGCCATGGGCCACATGGCTTCCTTGCATATGTGTCCTCCTTTGCAGTAGAAGCTCCCTCCCTCTGAGGGAAACCTGAAGCATGGGGGATTGGCTGCCCAGGGAAAGCTCATGACCACTAGTCTCCCAACCATGGTATAGTTTACTATGGTTCAAAACTTCTGGCATTGAGAGTTTAATTCTGGCATGGGTATTCCATCAAAATGGGGAATGATCTTAAAAATCCTTCTTCGACTGAACTCTGCCTCTGAAACTCATAATACACTATAATGTTAATTGAATTTAAATAAAAAATAAAAAATAAATTAATTTAAAAAAGTCCTAAAAAAAAATTCTTCTTCGAAGGACACCTGTCTGCCAGCTGAGACTTACCTTCTTTTTTTTTTTTTTTTAAAGATTTTATTTATTTATTTGACAGACGGAGACATAGCGAGAGAGGGAACACAAGCAGGGGGAGTAGGAGAGGGAGAAGCAGGCTTCCCACCGAGCAGGGAGCCCGATGTGGGGTCGATCCCAGGACCCTGGGATCATGACCTGAGCCGAAGGCAGACGCTTAATGACTGAGCCACCCAGGCGCCCCTGAGACTTATCTTCTAAGATTTGGATTATGTGTTCTCGGGTTTGTGTCTTTCGCAGTTTATATATTTTTATTTATTCTTAGCAGGGTCTGAAAATCTACTTAATGCTTTGCCAGGTAATGATTTTTGATGTTCTGATGTATTTTAAATGTGTTATAATGTTGTGTTCCAGTCCCTTGGAGGAAATATAAAAAGCAGATGTGAGCCCAAGAGTGGTTTGCTGTTCTTACACCTCCTTTCTTTTCAAATGATCAAAGTATGCTAAGGGCGATGTCATAACAGGCTGCCCTGCTTTCTCTACCTAATTTTATTTATAAGGAAGCTGTAGGAAGAAAGCATTTTACTTCTTTTTTTTAAGATTTTATTTAATATTTTGAGAGAGAGAGAGCGAGAGCACGAGCCGGGGGGGAGGGGTAGAGAGAGGGGGAAAGGGACAAGCAAACTCCCCGCAGAGTAGGGAACCTAATGCGGAGCTCAGTCCCAGGATCCTGAGATCATGACCTGAGCCGAAGTCAGATGCTTAACCGACTGAGCCACCCAGGGGCTCCAGCATTTTACTTCTTGATACACTTCCAAAAACTTGAATTGTTAACTAGAAATGTTAATCAAAAATGGTTTCATCATGGGTGATAATTTCTCCTTTCTGTTAGCGCTGAATACTACCTGGTTATGTTTAACTGTTTTCCTACCATACTGACAAGATCATTATGAAGTGTTCTGGAAATAAAAGGAATAAAAAAATGCATTTGTTTTTGTGGCATGAGAACTTTTCTGAAAGTCAGCAAAATTATTTTTCATTTGGTTTTTGAAAGATAAAATAATAAATATAAAATACATTTATTCCTTTTTGTACTTTTCTCTCCTTGGTTTTACATTCTTTCCAATAAGGAAAAGAAGACTGTGCCATTTATTTTTGAAAAATGAATGGTAATGTTGATTCTTAGTGTTCAAAATGCGTATTTATTTTCTTGCTGCTTTGGAAGATGGATGATGAATGCAAGACTTTTAAACCAGCGGGTATATATAGAATTTACCTGATATTTAGAATTTGAGCATTTATAACATGGCACTTTTCTGACTCTTATTATTGCTTTCTATTGCAGTTTAGATTCTTAACCATTCCACCCTTCTAATTTATTCCTAATCTCAACTTGATGTAAATATTTTCCTGTCTTTTCATGAATCAGTTGAACGTCTTTAGATTGCTTCCCTAAATTGTACCCAGGGACACCAAGGTTGGTTTGTGCGAGGTGGCCCTATGTACATAAATTCTAATTCCTTTGCTAATTCTTCCCTGAAGAACAGACACTCTTAGTTTCAGTGTGAAGTCATAATTTTCGGGTGGAATCTTTTTGTACTGTGCTGACTTTTCCTCCTGCTTTTTCAGCTCCTTATGAAGCTAGACAGCCCCTTGTCCAGCCTGAAGGACCCTCGTCGGGGGCTGCAGGAGCCAAGCCCCCTCGGCATCAGGCTTCCCTTATTCGGGTAAGTGATGTTGTGGGGTTATGCCAGTGGGAGACTTTGGGGACATGAATTTTTGATGGGCCCTCATTTTTTTTTTTGTAAGGGATATTTAAAACTGCCCCCTTATGCAAATATTGCACTTGTTGTTCTGTTGCTTATATATTTTCATAGATCTTTTTTTTTAAAGTTAAGTTCTACCCCCAGTATGGGGCTTGAACTCATGACCCCAAGATCCAGAGTCTCATGACCTACTGACTGAGCCAGCCAGATGCTCCTGTTCTTCTACATCTTTTTTGTAATGTGTGTTTCTACCCTTTCTCAGTGTCTCTAGACTAATCCAAGCTGGTTCTTGGTCTTTTGTATGTCTAAAACGCCCTTCCACCTACATCATTAGGCACCTCTTTCAGGAGTGCTTTATTTTTTTCCAAAACAGCCTATCTTATTTCTGCCTTATTCTTTATTATTATTCATTCAGTGCATACTTAGCTGTTGCACTTTGTTTTGTGCCTCCAGTCACATTGCAAGCTTTTGGAAGGCGGAGGTAGTTCTTCCGCATTCTGTCTCAGGGCTTAGTCGCTACTGTTTGGAGAACAGTTATTTTACATGTGGCAGTAGCTGCTGTTTCTTATATGTAATAGATATAAAAGGAATATTATGACAGACGAACAAGTGATGTCTCCATTTCTTCTGGCTTAGAAAATTTCAGCTTCCCTTTCTCCAGTGTTGTCTTTTGGATAAAGAACAGTTATTATTTTCATGTCTGCAACTGTTATCTTGTATAGTGTCTCTGAATGCTATGCTGGGGAAGTCATATTCTCAAAAAAGGGTGTGTGCTTGCTGGTGTGTGTGTGTCTGCATGAGAGGAACTGTGAAAAAAACTGGGTGTACTGTTTGACCCTAAAGACAAGAGGAAGTTGGGTGGTTTGTATGACATTTCGGTTATCCAACTTAGGAAGAAGGATCACTTATGCACTGGCAGTTCTACTCAGAATAGAAGGGTAGTGTCAGATATTCCCATAAAGAATTGGGCTGCTGCTAGTCTCAAACAGAATAGACAAAGGCTAAGGACAGATCATCGTGTTCAGTGACTACCCTCTGGGAATGGGGCAATCTGTTAGGCCCAGAGCTGTGTTATGGACAGAACTTTATCTTCTAAGGTGGTAGTCTGTGTACAAAGAACTTTCTTAAGGATAATAATTTAGCCATATGCTGTGTATATTTGATGCTTCCTACAACTGTAAGATCTAGGTACTCTTTTATCTACTAGTGTAGATGAGTTAACTGTGGCCAAGAGAGGTCAAGTAATGGGTCTAAGGTTTTATTCATAACTAGTAAGTGGCAGAACCAGAATTTGAAGCCAGGTCTGCCCAGTGTCAAAATCTGCACTTTAAAATATTTTACTATACATTAGAGTTCTATATTATAGGGAGGCTAGGTTCTGGAGTTGCTACATAAACTGACTTTGGGTGTAGTAAAAAATAATCCTGATGATCCCTTACTGGTACCATATCAGAGAGCCAAGATGCCATTCTCTCCTCTGTCCAGTAGAGCTCACTTTCACTCCCAAGTTGGAACAAAGACCTGTTTATTTAGCTGAGCCCCAGATGTATTTGGCTGTGTTGAGAGGGCCTATGTTATAAAAATATGTGTCTTTAAACACAAGAATCGCACCCACTGTGGAATGATGGTTACATTAAGAAAGATGTAGGGGGGACTGGGATTCATTTAGAACATTCTCCAGGATGTGTCTGTGCATGTGTGTACAGAGTGTATCTTAGGGCCATGGAGACCTAATCCTGAATTGTTAGAATAGTGGTCAAGCAAGCAATAAATCATGAACTTTGCAGTTGTCAGGTAGGGCTCACCAGACCCTTTCTACCTAGTCCCCTGGGTGGGATACCTTGGGTTTTTACTTGGATTCATGCCCTATGACTTCTCTTCAAATCTCTGGGTCCATGTTTCCTGCTGGTAGACATGCTTTTTGGGCACTTCATTCAACTGATATTTACTAAACACCTATTAAATGCCAGGTACTGTGTTGAGGATACAAAAATGAGGTTTAACATTTCCAGTCCCTGCCCTCATTGAGCTTATAGGCAATTGGGGGAGGTGGCCAATAATCAAACCATTGCACAGTAAATATATCATTATGTGTTGTGAATGGAAATTGCACTGCTTTGAGGATGAAAAACAATTTGTGGGGGCACAGTTACGACCTACCCTTAGCTGGTAGGGGGCAATCAAGGACGGCTTTTAGTGGGGTGTCACATTTGAGTTGAAATGAGAAGGATTCATAGGTGTTAACCAGGTCAAGGGATGGGAATGGGGGGAGTAGGCAAGAAGATAGAGGGCACTGCACTTAGAGGACTAGAAAATAGTCTGTTTTCTAGTGCTTAGCATTTTATACACATCTTCTTCAGTGCTCACAGCTGTGTTATGGGGTAATTCCTGTTATCTCATCTTTTTCCATGTACCAGTCATCTTTTATTGGATGTTTATTCTCAGTTAGGATATGAAAGGATTCAAGGGTGCTAGGCAAAGGTCATGGTCAGGAATGCAGAATATGTCTCCACATTGGGCCCTCTTCAGGGGTCCTTGTAACAATGACAGTAGTTGAAAAGCACATAAGCTGCCAGCACCATAGAAATCCCAGTGATGCCCCCCTTTCTTCACATTGACATACTTGTTTATAATACTGGTTGGTAGTAACCTCTTTGAAATGCTCCAGCAGCACCTTTAGGGGTGAAATCCCACATCAGTATCCGGCTTGGTCGCTCTTCTAGTTTGCCATGAGCTGCTCCTGCTTCACTGGTATGGATGAAGCCATCTTGGACCCCTGGGTGTCCCATTTATTAGATGACAAAACCTGAGGTTTAAAGACCTTATTTAATTTACCCAGAGTCACAGCTAGGAAGTGATAGGGCTGGAGTTCAAACACAGGACATGTTTTCTTAGTTTGGCTCAGGAACCTGATAGATGGTGATATCATCTGGTAAGCTGAGAAGCCCTGGATGAAAAACTGGCATTGAGAGGATTAGGGAAAGATCATGAGTTCAGTGTTGGATGTTGGGATTTGAGCTTTTGGGATAGCCAAGAGGAGGTGTCAAAGAGATGGTAGGAAATATGGCTCTGGAGCTTTGGAGAGAGCCAGGGCTGGACATCAGTATTTGGCAGTTGTTGGGCATTAGAAGGACTTATGGTCTGGTGCAGAAAAAAAACAGATGGGTTCTTGCCCAGGTCTGGCCAAACTGTGTGACCTTGGGCAAGTTTCTTCTCTTTTCTGTAACATGAATGACTTGAAATGGATTTAACAGTCCCTTGGAATAATCTGCAATAGTCTGACTCCCTTAATGTTTGTTTGGCATCAGTGGAAGCCCCGCCCCCGCTCCCTCCTGTTTGGAGTATTGCCTTCTGTTTAAGATGAGAACAAGGGGCCTTCCTTGGGACAGCAGTTTGTGGTTTTCATGGCTGATGTGTTTTTCTTGCTTTTGTTTCTAGGTTTCCTTCTTATGCCTGTCAACTTGGTTTGGCTGAACTCCAATTCCCAGAAAGGAAAATGCCAACCTGAATTAGTCATGTAGATGAGGGGATCTAAAGAGAAGGTTTTTGGTGGTAGGGGATTAATATGGATTGGGTCTGGTAGTAGGCTAGGCTGGGGTAACTCATTCTCCTCACATTGCCACGTTAGTGTGCTGTTGGCAAACTTGCTGTCTTCTAGCTTCCTCTGTGGCCTTGTATTCAAGTTGTTTCTTATGATTGGAAGGGGAGTGGCCTCTGGGTACTTAGGGAGGTTATTCAGGACCCTGGGCCAGTGCTCTTGCAGCTCATGAACTTGGCGTTTTAGAGATGCTTATGCCAAATTCAGCACCCAGATATTGGCATGAATAATTTTTTTTTGGCCTAATATTTTAGAAATTTCAGGGTTTTTTTTTTTTGTTGTTTAGGGTTGGAAGTTTTTTCCCTTGAAATTTCAGATACTGAGCATATCCTAGATCAGTGAATGGTTGACAGTGATTTGTAAAGAAATACTAAGTCTCTAGGGCACCTGGGTGGCTCATTCGGTTAAGTGTCTGCCTTCACCTCGGTTCATGACCTCAGGATCCTGGGATCGAGCCCCAGTCGGGCTCCTTGCTCAGCGGGGAGTCTGCTTCTCCCTCTCCTGCACCTCCTCCTGCTCGTGTTCTCTCTCTCTCAAATAAAATCTTTAAATATATATATATGTATATACACACACACAAATATATATATATATATATAAGAAATACTGTCTTCTTTCCTGATTCATCTGTTTTATCATGTGTTTATAGGTCATTTTGTGGTTTACTTTTCACAGATTATCTTAACCATCAACATTTGTAATTGGCTGGTGTAGGATTTAGAATTGTCCCTTTTGCTCCCACTATACTCCACTGACTCTGCTTTTGCCGCAGTTGCCAGAAACTACCTTGGGTTAAGTCCTTGTTTCATTGACCCCTTAGCAACTTTTGACACTGACCACCTTCTTGACATGCTCTCATTTTTTGGTGTACATGATGCCATCCTCTCCTGGTTTTCTTCCTGCTTCTGTGACTGCTTCTTCCTAATCTTTTTCCATTCTCCTACTTCCCCCAGCACCTGACATGTTGGTGATGCCTGGGTCTGCTTCTCACTCTGTTCCTCTTTAGCTATACGGAAGCTTATGACCACATAGCTCCATCTGCCAGACATCCTCACTCAGATGTCCCACTGTGAGTTTAAACTAACATGTCTTTCCCACAAAGCCAGCTTTCACCCTTCCATTCCTGGCTCCGTCCATCTATCAGCATGGGCCAGAATGCTGGTCTCTATATTTGGCTCGTCTCTTGGCTCTTCTGCCCACATAGTTACCAGGTGCTGGCCGTTTCACTTTCTAAATGCCTCTCTTACCTGTCCGTTATTCTGCATTTCTTTGGTTCAGACCATCTTCCTCTGTCACTGGATCTATTCTGTCAGCCTCTAACTCTTTTTCCTTGCTTCTCCTCAGGCCCTCTTCAAATCTTAAA